CTGTGAAATTGATCGACTAAAACGGTTTCAATAAAAGTGCAAGATCATTAAAGTGCTCTGTTTAAACTGATAACAGCTGCTTGGCTTAAAAGTCTGGATTTATAAAGAACCTCCAGAACAGGAAGCTCACAGATCACAGTCCTCTCTCTGGTCTCTCTCTGCTCTCTCTCTGGTCTCACAGCTCACAGTCCTCTTTGCAGAGCGGAGCACCTTGTTTAGACCTCTCCTTTCTTTGTCTGTGATGCCACCAAACCACACAGTCGCAGAACCAACAAGCAAACTTTCAATGGTGCAGCGATAAAAGTTAAGCAGAATCTTAGAGTTAGTGGTGAATTCTCTAAGTTTTCGCAGAAATATCAAGACTGCAATGGACTCGCATAAACAGGACACAGTGTAAGATTTTCAGAACAGTTATTGAATTATTCTGACCTCAGAATTAAATATAGACTAAACCATAAACTAGCTTTTTGTCCAAGATTATCACCATAATATAGAAGTTGGTGTTGAGTCTATTTATTACAATGAGTGGCCCCAATCAATCAATCAAAAACAAACGGGATACAAAATGATTGAATAAGCAGACACTTATTTCTGACCCCACTTATTCAACACACACACACTTACACATGTAGACAGACACAGCCCCAAACATTCTCTGACCCTACCCCTCTCTTCCGTCACCTGCTCTTGCTGACATTGTGCGGCGTACAAGCTCAAAAGGGTTAATTGTGTTTGTGTGAGCGTCTGTGTCCGTGGGTGGGGATTTGTGTGTGTGTGTTCACGTGTGTATGGCTTTACGGCGGTTAAAACTTTAAGCTGATGCGATAACGTTCTCAGGCAGCTCTGTGTCTTAATCCTGTGTGTTACCGATGTTACGTCATTCAAACACTGAATAAACTGCAAAAAAAACTATTTATAGCTTTATGACCTGATGAAGACCACTGGACCAAACTGAACCAAACTGAACCAAACTGGACCAAACTGGACCAAACACGTCCCAGTTGTATTAAAAAGACTTTTAAATTTTCCTGAGAGCCCTGAGTCTATTATCTCCATCTCCAGTAAGGGATTATTTTTACATACTACAACAAATATTTATTTATATTTATTTATTTATATTTTCACGTACATGTATATATCTTCTTCTTTAGGCAATATACTCTGGACCGTATCATAATGTGTCCTTGATAGAGATTCATAAAATAATAAAATAAAATGCTGAACATTGAATCTAAGGCGAGGAAAATGTCCACCGGCTTCAAGCAGAATGGACAAAACATGCACAAAATATGAAATATAACCTTTCTGAGCACACCACCAGCTGAAACTGAAAAATTAAGATTGGATTGAGAGATTTAAGAGAAGAAATAGTTATATCATAAGTTATTGCAAAATAAAATCCAAACTCTGCAGCCTTTATTAACTCATTGACTGCCAGCCCATTTCAAAACAGGTACTTCCATATTGCCAGCCGTTTCTGATGGTTTTTTACTGATTTTTAAAGACCCACAGAATATTGTGTACTATGAAATCTGACACCAGATTCTAAAAGAATGGACTGTCTACTTTCATCAGCAAAAAGAATGTTGTTTCTAGCTTGTTTCGTTCCCCTGTAAGCCTCCGTTGAGTAGAGGGAAGTTTTACTGAAATCACCAGAAAGTTGAGAAAAAAAAGGCACAACATGTGCACCTAACTGTTTTCAAACCATTCAGAGAGTAATGCTGCCACCTGCTGGCTTGATAAAATATGGTCTCAAGCCATCCCCATACATATTAGATACAATAGACTTCTGGGAACGTGAAAATAGGGGGAAAGGCAATTGTAAACGTATTAATGCGTCAATGGCACACAACGTTACTATTTACTTTGACGTATTTGTGCGTCAATGGCACAAAATTAGTTAACAAAATGTAATTCTCATCACCGTGTATTATATGAAGAACATAAACAAGTGCAAAAAAGTCTTGCAAATCTTCTCACATTTTTTGCTTTTCTCATTATTTTGACCATTTTGGTGATAACATTCCACGTCACACACTGGTAGAAAAACACTGGGTCGAGGCGTCTCTGCTCAGACCTGGCAACCGGAAGAAAATGGATATTCAAACTCTTCCATTCTTTACTCCATTGTTTTTCTGTTGTCTTGAGAGTGCAGTGCATCATAAACAGCGAGTTCTTATCGCTAAACAATGATTCAAAACGCTTCTTTGCTGCAACAAAGTAATTATAAACCGTGATAATTGATAGAGCAGTGTTTTTTTCACTGCCTGAGTAAATGTGCTTTTCTAACATGATTACGCTGTTTACGCTTATGGGCAAATAGCCTCCATTTAAAACCTTCCCTTTTAATTAGTTTTGTGCTTCCTTAGACTCTTCCCATTCTTATATTACGAAGCATAAAAGCCAAAGCCAAAATAATGTGTTTTAATATCAGATTTCAAAGAGTGTGTGAAATATGATCCGAAAAACAAAAGGTGCACAAAGAAAAGTAACTTTCCCAGCGGAGATTCTGCTTTTAGCCCAAGTCAATCGAAATCTGGTTTTGCCGTGGAAGGTTCTCACTATGGCAGACCATCTGTCATCTGTAGTGGAGGCAAGTGACTTAAAGCTGGGGTACGTAACTTTCAAACGACAACAAACATTAACTATGTAAAGAAATCCATGTAATAGTTTGGGGTCTATTTTATCTGTAGTGGCCATTTGATTATTGATCTCACAATGAAGAAATTTGCAAGTTATAAAGTTATCTTATCTTAAACCTTGACCAACTTAAACCAAAACAAATCAAAATGCCACATTGGCCGTTTTCAGGTTGGCTTTACGCAGGCTGGAGAAAACAAAATGTCTAAACAAAAATGCATTTTAGGTGTGTTTATTGACCGAGCAAATGGCAAACATGAAAACTGCAGCCTCTGGTAAAAAAAAACAATGTGCACAAAACGCCCTCTCACCAGAGACTTATTTAATCCTGTGACCAAATTAAAATAAAAAAGCAGGGATTAACTTAAAATAAGAGCTAAAGTAGATTCTCAAAACTAAAATCTAAAAACAGACAAATGGCTCCAGCATTATCTTTAGATCAGCTTTTTCAAACAGGAAAGTGAAATAGAGAGGATTTTCTCTCTCTCGGCCAATCAGCTCTCGGCCAATCAGCTCTCGGCCAATCAGCCCAAAGCATAGAATAGTGACTCCCAGAGCTTTCTTACAAGTGAAAGATCACGTTTTCTATATGAAGACAAAGGCATCACAGGTGAAATTTAGAATATCGCACAAAAACTTCATTTATTTCTGGAATTCAACTTAAAACTAGACTCAATACAAAGTAACATATATGTTACTTTTTATTGAGTCATATATATGCCTTTGTTATGATCATGGCTGCGGGTCTATAGTTTATGTGGGTTTTTACAGCTGTGAGCCCAGGATCATTAATATAACGAAGGCTAGCTCACATCGTCGTTGTAAATGGACTTTTTTAAACCATATTTTAATTACCGTAGTTTCACCTGTATGTGTTCGGATGTGTTCACAAATTTTTATTTACCCAAGGCTTTTTTTTTATCTCTAAAAAAATAAGCTTGAGAGCCCAGCTTTAACGAGAGTAAATCACAAGTCATATTTTTGGAATGAAGCCGATGCATTATAAACACGTATTTAGATATGCGTACACTTCTGGGAGTTTTTGGGTTAATTCTTGGGCTAGCTGCTGTTATATTTCGTTGCTAGCCTCAGCCAGAGTGACGCTAATTATTTTGTTGTGATAAATGTTAGTGGGTATTGTGTCAAAAGTCAAAAAGATCTCTCCTTCTGCAACAGGGAGAGGTGAGTTTAGAGACATGGAAAAGTCTTCAGTCCAGAGGGTTGGGGATGTTGCACAGACATGAAGCCGTGTGTGTGTGTCTGTGTGTGTCTGCGTGTGTCTATGCATGTGTGTGTGTGTGTGTGTGTGTCTGCGTTTGTCTATGCATGTGTGTGTGTGCGTGTGCCGTCTACGTTCCATATTAAATTACTTGAAACCTGCCAATGCTTCCTGCCTCTAAATGAAACGTCTGTGATGTTTTCACTGCTCTGTACTTTGTCAAAGTGAAGGCTGCAGGGCTCTGGCTAAATGTTATTCGGACGGACACTGCCATGACATCTATTCACATTTATGGACATCGGTCTAACCCTTATGGACCAATGGCTCTATGTGGTTTTTATTGTTGCATTTCTTGTGTTTGAACAGTGATTATCTGATCTGTGTTGGTGAATCGACAGCTTTGTTAAATGTTTGTTGTGATTTAGGGCAATACAAAAATAATTGGAATTGAAATTGAATTATAAGTATGTAAATAGTTGTTGTATTTTGTGCTAAAAGACATGAAAACACATATTTGTAAATGAATTTGGGTTCATAATTTTTGTTGATGTAGCTTGGCTTCCCGTGCATTGTTAAAGGTGTATATTCCTCAACCGCACAAATGGAGATTCTGGTACATTTCCATCGGAAGTTAAGCTGGGGAATTTTGGGAATATTGCAAAGCTGGGAGTGAGTTGTAATGGATAAGATACAATTTAATTACAAGAATAAATATAAACAAAAGAAAAAAATCCATGTAAAATGTTGTATGGTCTCATTTGTCAAGCAAGTTTCCCATAATATCATCAAAATGTACGGTTTATTCCTGTTAATTCTTGTAAATACCCATTAATCCACATGGAAACTTTACATCTTTGACAATTCCTCAACCGGCCGTTAAGTGAGTCCAGTCTTTACCCATGTCCTCAGGTCTTCAGGTTGAGTCTGGCGTGCTCCTTTTGGTTGGAATGAAAACTTACAGCCACACCGACCCTTTCTGGAACCAGTTTCACACCCCTGATCTATATACTGTTGTTTTACCGTAATATTTATAGTTATGAAATGTTCTATTTACATTTGAAATAAGCATGTTACTTACAACTTACAAATGAAATCTGTGGAGAGTCTTCTCACCGAGTATTTGCGATTGTTGGATGTTTTTATGCTTGTTCTTCCCGCTCTTAGCTGGCCTCTCTCTGTGTTTGTGCTGCAGATTAACCTGAGGCTCATTCTGGTCAGCGGCAAAACGAAAGAGTTCCTGTTTTCTCCAAACCACTCGGCCGCAGACATCGCAAAACACGTGTACGACAATTGGCCCATGGGTGAGTGCTGCTACACACACGTGACGCTGTTAGAGGACCAAGTGGTAATGAAATGCAACTAGAAATATACTGTGATGTCAGTTATGTAAAACCCCCTCAAAATTACCTTGAAAGACACTATAGTCAAGAATTGTATGACTGAAATATGTATTATGTCTTTATACATATAGATACAGGTGGAGGGACAGGAGGGGAGTGGGTGGAGAGGGGCAAAAAATCACAGAAAAATTCAAAATACAACATTTAATGACAATAAATAAATTAATAAAGTAAGGTAAAACATGAAGGAGGCAGTGAAAATGTGTATCTTTACATCACACACATAATACACCCATATCAGGGTGCTTGTGCAGGTCTTGAAAGACCTTGAAAAGTCTTGAATTTTGTGTGAAAGTCTTAATAAAGTATGGGGGTAAAAATGTATGGCACAGACTGGTTTCCTCGCTTCTGTCAGTGTGCCCCAGGGCAGCTGTGGCTACAGTAGTAGTTTATCACCACCGTGTATGGAGTGAATGAAGAATAACATGTGAAGGGTCTTTGAGTGTCCAAAAAAGCGCTGTATAAAACCGATGCATTATAATTATTATTAGTATGTCCAGGACCCTGACCTGGTCTGCCACCTGAGGCACAGTATCAAGGGAACAGCCCAGGACTTGGACCTCCTGAGGACTTTTGATTCAATTTCATTCAATATATTCTTGTATAGCCCTAAATCACAACATTAGTTATGTCAGAGGACTTTGCAAACCGTTGATTTCTCCACTACAGATCAGAGAATCAAACAGTTCAAACTCAAGAAATGTAATGATAGAAAACACATAGAGGCTCTGGTCCATAAGGAGAAGAGACCAATGTTGATATAGTCCATAAATGTTGCTGAATGTCGAGTGTCCTGGATCATCCCCACTGTCCTTAGACCTTATGGCATCGGCAAGGATCAACTATGTGGACGGTCGGGCTATAGATCCAGGACTCAGGCTGTAGAACGAGGACCGAGGCCATGCGATGCAGGACTGAGGCTGTAGAACAAGTCTGGACCCTGGAGGATCAGAATCAGAATCAGAATCAGAATCATTTTTATTGCCAACGTAGTAACGGGAGGTCACAGACTTGGAAATTGCTTTGGCTCAGTGCAACAGTCAAAAAGAGATAATAAAAATAAGAATAAAAAACACTTCTAAAGAATAAATTTAAATTTAAAATAGAGTTACAGTTACTATTTACAATATACAAGTGCACATGGTGCACACAATGTAAGGTGACAGCAGTACAGTGAAGTAAAGTGACGTATGATGGGCAGTAAAGTGACTTTATAAAGGGCGGGGGGACAGGTTAAGAAGTGTTCAAGAGTCCAACAGCAGAGGGGAAGAAACTGTTCTTGTGGCGGGAGGTTCTAGTCCTGATGGACCGCAGCCTCCTGCCTGAGGGGAGTGGTTGGAATAGTCCATGTGCAGGGTGAGAGGGGTCGGCTGTGATACGACCAGCCCGGCCTCGAGCTCGGGCGACGTACAGGTCCTGCAGCGATGGAAGGCTGCGGCCGATCACTTCCTCTGCAGAGCGCACAATGCGCTGTAGTCTCTGTTTGTCCCTGACTGTGGCTCCAGCGAACCACACGGTGATGGAGGAGGTGAGGATGGACTCGATGATGGCCGTGTAGAACTGCACCAACATCTGTGCAGGCAGCTTGGCTTTCCTGAGCTGCCGCAGGAAGTACATCCTCTGCTGGGCCTTCTTGATGAGAGAGCTGATGGTCGGCTCCCACTTGAGGTCCTGGGTGATGGTGGTGCCCAGGAAACGGAAGGACTCCACAGAGGTGATGGGGGAGTCCATCACGGAGGGTGGGGGCGGGGGGACAGTGCTCTTCCTGAAGTCCACAATCATCTCCACTGTCTTCTGGGCGTTCAGCTCCAGGTTGTTACCACTGCACCAGGACACCAGCCGGTCCACCTCCCTCCTGTAGGCGGACTCATCGTTGTTGGAGATGAGTCCAATGAGGGTGGTGTCGTCCGCGAACTTGATCAGCTTCACGGAGTCGTGGCTGGAGGTGCAGTGGTTGGTGTACAGGGAGAAGAGCAGGGGAGAAAGAACACAGCCCTGTGGGGCTCCTGTATTTATAATCCGAGAGTCCGAGACATTCTTCCCCAGACGCACTCGCTGCTTCCTGTCCGTCAGGAAGTCAGTGATCCACCTGCAGGTGGAATCGGGCACGTTGAGCTGGGAGAGCTTGTCCTGGAGCAGGGATGGCAGGATTGTGTTGAAGGCAGAGCTGAAGTCCACGAACAGGACCCTGGCGTAGGTCCCCGGGGAGTCCAGGTGCTGTAGGATGTGGTGGAGGGCCAGGTTAATGGCGTCGTCTACAGATCTGTTGGCTCTGTAGGCGAACTGCAGGGGGTCCAGGAGGGGGGAGGTGAGGGACTTGAGATGGGAGAGAACCAGGCGTTCAAATGACTTCATGACGACAGACGTAAGTGCTACAGGTCTGTAGTCATTGAGTCCTGTGATCCTGGGCTTCTTCGGAACGGGGACAATGATGGAGGATTTGAAGCAGGCCGGGACATGGCAGGACTGCAGAGAGGAGTTGAAAATGTCCGTGAACACAGGAGTAAGCTCACTGGCGCAGTGTCTCAGAGTGGCCGGAGACACGTGGTCCGGGCCAGGAGCTTTGCGGGGGTGCAGCCTCAGGAAGAGTTGTTTAATCTCTTTAGCGGCTATTGTTAGGCTGGGGGCAGGGCTGATGGGTGGGTCGTTAGAGTAGTGGGGGGTGGGGGAGGGAGAGGTGTCAGGGGCAGCATCAAAGCGACTGAAAAATAAGTTCAGATCGTCAGCTAGCTTGTGGTCATCAGCACAGGGGGGGGCTTTGGGTTTGTAGTTGGTGATCTCCCGTAGGCCCCTCCAGACAGAAGCAGTATCGTTGTTACCAAACTGCTCCTGTAGTCGTTCTCTGTGCCGGGACTTGGCTGCTTTCAGTTCTTTCCTGAACTGATATTTAGCTGCTTTGTAGCCGCTGCGGTCCCCCTCCCTGAAAGCAGACTCCTTTGCTTTCCTGAGCTGCCGGAGTTTAGCAGTGAACCAGGGTTTGTCGTTGTTATAGATGACCCTGGTCCTTGTTGGAATGATGCTATCCTCACAGAAGTGGATGTATGACGTTACAGTGTCCGTATATTCATCCAAACTATCTGTGGCAGCTCTGAAAAGGTCCCAGTCTGTAGATTCCATGCATGCGCGCAGCTCTTCCACAGCTTCATCAGACCACACTTTGGAGCTCCTCATTGCAGGTTTCGAGAGCTTTAGTCTCTGTCTGTAAGCAGGAACCAGATGTATCATGGAGTGATCTGAGAAGCCGAGGGCTGGCTTGGGAACAGCGCGAAAAGCTCCGCGCACGGTGGTGTAACAGTGATCCAAAGTGTTCTCCTCTCTGGTCGGGCATTTGATAAACTGTCTGTATTTGGGTAATTCCTGGCTCAAGTTTCCCTTATTAAAATCCCCCAGGATAATAATCAGAGAGTCCGGGTATAAGCGTTCCATACACAGTACTTGCTCTGCGAGTGCGCGCTGAGCCTCGCGCGCGTCCGCGCATGGCGGTATGTAAACAGAGGCAAGAATGAATGAAACAATTTCCCGCGGGGAGTAATATGGTTTACAATGAATGAAAAGATATTCCAGAGCAGGAGAGCAGTGCTTGGAGATCACTGTCACATCGTTACACCAGTTTGTATTGACGTAGAAACAGAGCCCTCCGCCTCTGCTCTTCCCTGAGAGCGCACAATGGCGATCCGCGCGAAACAGCCCAAAGCCCTGCAGCTCCAGAGCGCAGTCCGGGATCCGCTCATTTAGCCAGGTCTCAGTGAAGCAGAGGACACAGGATGTGGCGAAGTCCTTGTTTCTTCTCATGAGCAGGCTGAGTTCGTCCATCTTATTGCCCAGTGAGCGTACGTTGGAGAGAAAAATGCCGGGGAGAGCCGTGCGCGCTCCTCTCCTCCTAAGACGCACGAGCAGGCCTCCTCGCTTTCCCCTTTTACGGGCCCACACTTTTTTGGCTAGAACATGAACTAAATCAGCCGCAGATGCCAAGAAAACAGGCAATAGGTCCATGGGAACGGTGGGTCGGATGTTCATAAGTTCCTCACGGGTGTAGGAACAGCCAGATGCACAGTTAAAAAGTAAAAACAAAAGAAAAAGTGAGCAGCAAAGAGCCATGTCGACCGTACGAGGCGCCATCTTGATTTTGCTTCTTTCTATCTCTCTCTGTGATTCTGCTGCTCCACACGTCACATCATACTGGACAGGTTGTTTTTACAGACATATTTAGTTGTACTGTCAGACCCCTTTGCAGAGACCGGAAAATGTACCTTTTACTTGTATCTGTCCTTCCCTAGATCTTAATATATTTTTCAACTTTTTGCTACAAACTGAATTTCACTTCATGCACTTATTAGGAGTTGGCCTTAAATTGCCTTATACTTCCCTCTGGATCCAATGAAGGAAGTGACTGGGGAGAGGGAAGTGCATCTGCGGCCCCTGAGACTCTTGGATCAGCAGTAGAAGGATGTTTGAATATTTTGAATCAAAGTGCAGCTGTTTTGTAGCCTGAGCTCACAGCATCTCAAAGGGATGGGTGTTTCTGCTCTGCCCAAAGCCAAAACATTATGTAAAACGCAACAACAGTCATGCTATGTTCAATTGGATTTCTCTCCGACTTTTTTCCCCGCGACTCCGAAACCAACTGCGTCTGCTGTTTATGCTGTAGCTGGAAATTTTTACACTTTATGAATCCAAACATTTTCATTTGAGATCTGCGTTTCTCGCTGCTGCCGCTCCGTGTCAAAACATTTACTCTCGCTTGGTTTGTGGTTTTGTCTAAATTTACTTTGCAGTGCAGTGATCCGCCACAGTCTGTGCATAATCAACACGAGAGCTGGGTTTGGGAGATTTTAGAACGACTTGATGCTTTATCCACGCTGTTCCCCTTTTTTGCTCGCATTAATTAGTTGATAATTAGT